CCAATGATGGTAAGATGATGTCATGGGGTAGGACTGGATAAGTCTGACTTCTTCCTACTCCATTCAAGCATGTACTAGGTATAAGCAAATTGATATTGGATTAGCATTTGTTGGATATGTGTAAAATTATGTGTGTTGACATATCAACTGTCTTTACATGCTTGAAAGAATAAATCAAATCAAATCAAATCAAATCAAATCAAATAACTGTCCAGTAAAGTCACTATAACAATGCACTTTCATACTGAAGCAGTGTCCAAAGCCAAAATTAAACCTGCAATGCAAGTTTGTGATATGTTTACTGAAATATTTAAGCAATATTTAGCTAAATAAAATATAAATCAACAACATCTGTGCCAATGTATTCAAGAGGACTTGATGAGAAGACATCAGTAAGACCCCGGACATGAGCTCTATAAATACACCTGCCTGGAAAAGAACGTCTGTGTTGCTCTGACGTATCACGACACTCACCTGGCAGTGTGTATACCTATTACCATAGTTACCAAATGATCGGGAAAGCGCCTTCTGAACAGTTTTATCAGAAGTGTTTTAATGCGTCTTACAGAGGATTCAGAATCCACAGATCAACAGACTGGCTCTCACACAGCCCAGCACAAACGGACCTGTTGCAAATGAACCCTGGGGCCAGGTTGTCTGCCACAGGTCACAAGTCACACACCTGCTGACATAAAACCCTGTGGCTCTGACTTTAAGCATAAAGTCAACAGCTAAACCGATATTCTCTGCTGATTGTGAGACTGTGTAAGCCACACACAGCCTGGTGAGATCGTTTGGTAACCATGACAACTTGTATGTGCATTACTGGGTGTGTGCCAGGATTTTTCCCTGACATATCAGAGAGTAGAGAAGGAGATCCATCCACATGCTCGCTGTCATCCTGTGCATCCTGTTCATCAGACACATGCAGTCTTAAAGCTCTTATTAAACTATTTCTTGGTGAGTGCTCTCTGACACTAAGAACATATGAGCAGCATCCAGTCAGTGAGTGAGTTGTCAGTGAACATGAAGACAAGAGAATGTAACTTCAGTGAATCTGTGGTTTCATGATAAGTGAGCTACTCCCTCAGTCCTTACAGCTGGTCTCTTTCATATGAATGGACACACAACTCGCTGCAACAACATTAGCTTTCGTTGACTGTATTTACTTTAATGTGATTGGACTGTGTAATTAAAGCACTAGCTGGGCCCCAGTGATGGTTTTCATGGACTCTGAAAAGGTAATTACAAAGTGATAAATGGAATGAGTCACACAGGTGGAACATGGCCGAAGGCTTTAAAGCCTGCCTCAGACTGCGAGCATGCTCCAGATACATCAATGCTGTCTGAGCTGTGGCTGCGCAGGCTGGAATGATGCAGCAGCACATGTGCACATATGTTTAGCTCACATATCACACCAGCACATGGCAGCACGTTTCCCTCATGGCCGTTGTGCTGCTGTCTCTAAATATAGACGTCTAAACTAGTCAGATGCAGATGGAAATGACATTATTTTGAACATATGGACGCAGAGCTTCTTTTTATTTTCCATACATCAGAATGAGTCAGGTTTATTTATAGAAGCATGAGGCAGTTTGAGTGGGTTCACTCAGGTGCAGGGTGTTAAAAACCACAAATCTATTCAGAGGGAAATAAGAGACTAACAAACAGATACAGAAAAGAAAAAACACATGTGTTTGCTTTAAAAATAGGTCCAACAAGTCTAAAAGTGTACAGCTACACTAGAAGCCCCGTGAAGCTGTAAGACTCACTCCACAGTAGAAAAACAGACTGTTGGAAGGAGGGGTGGGACATGGAGAGACAACTCTGCTGTTTTTAAATCTTCACCACCGTGTAAGGTTTGTCCTGAGAGTGGCCATGGTGCTGCTTTAATCACCCTTTGTGACCATTTTAGGACAGTTTGTCAGACCCAGCTCTACACAAGGTTCAGTTTTAATCAGGCTCAGCTGAACTTCGTCAGTCAGAAATACAAATCGTACCGGTGCTGCTTTTGAAACAGTGATAAGAAATGAGTATTGATGAGCTTCAGACTCAAGCCATGTTGCTGAATGGTTTCAGACTGGTACGAGCACCGTGTTTGTGAGAAACAAACCCACCGCTACAACGTGCACAAAGCTGAACAAAGGCAGCCGAAGTACTTTGGTGATTTGGCCTGACCAGTTGTGTGTTATGATGCTTAACCTGACCCCAGCCTTGCCCTAATTACCCTAAGCCTCACCACTTTCCCAATCTGCACGTTGTAGCATCTTTGGTGGAGGGTTTGCAGAACAAACACATCACAACATCACAGCCTTTCACCCCAAACCCCAGGCTGCCTCTAACCTTTTACACAGGTGTCAAGCCAGCAAAGAAGCAACAACTTTACTACATCCTCTGCTGGTGTGATGCAGGGTCAACAGTGGCCCCCCCACCCCAAGGTCATACCTTTAATACAGAACATGGCAGTTGTGTAACAAGGGCCGTAGGGACTGACAACCATTCACACCCACACCGACAGTATGGCCAGTTCAGAGCTTCCAGTCAACCTGCATGTTAGACTGTCGGAGGACCAGGAGATCGTGCACATAGAAATCCGTGTTACATCCTCTCGACACTCTGCTTCAGAGCACCAACACAACCAAGTGTGACAGTGGATCAGTTCAAACTCAGTCCAAGCAGGCAAATGAATCACCCATCGGCAGTTGGAAGATTTTTCTCAGCCGAGGTGTCACTGCCTCCCCAGGATCCACCAAAAATAGGCCGGAGCTGAGGGGATTAAAGTCAGATCGTCACAGGCGTCTACAT